AAGCCACGCACACAAGCAAAGCAAAGCAAAGAATTCATTCCCTGCTTCCCACGGGCAGGCAGGTGCTCAGCCATCCCCAGGAAAGCAGGCCTCCATCACACATAACAGTGACTTGGGAAGACAAACGCCATCGCTCCCAACATCCCCCCCTTCCTTCTTCTTCCCCCAGCTCTAGGTGCTGAGCATGACGCCATACGGTGTGGGATATCCCTTGGGTCAGCTGGGGTCAGCTGTCCCGGCTGTGTCCCCTCCCAACCCCTTGTGCCCCCAGCCTGCTCGCTGGTGGGGTGAGGTGAGGAGCAGAAAAGGCCTTGGCTCTGTGTCAGCACTGCTCAGCAACAACGAGAACACCCCTGTGAGGAACGAAACGTCCCTGTGTTACCCACACTGTTTCCACCACAAATCCAAAACACAGCCCCATACAAGCTACTGTGAAGAAAATTAACTCTACCTCAGCCAAAACCAGCACAGCTTGTCATTTTGTCTCTTCTGGTGGAATAAAGGGCTTATTAGCTTGGTCTCAGCAGCACGCTAATGCAGTCACACAGGCTCTGGACGAGAGCAGGCACGCACCTTGCCAAGTCACAGGGTAGGCAGAGGGAGCCTGCATCTGCCCAGGGATGGCCACGGGGCCAGACCCATGCAGCTGGCGGGACTGCAGCCACGCTGGGAAACAGCTCCATCTCCAACGTGAAATAAATCCGCTGCACCAAAAGGTCACCCTGCACAAGGGGACACGCTGCAGTGACCTTCAGTCAGGCAATACCTCGTGTCAGCTGTACCGAACAATAAGCAGAAATGGCACAACTGTGCTTGCACGCCTGCCAGGATTTCCTGCCCACCAGCAGTCGCTGCGTACTTAACTGTATATTAATAAACCTGCCTTTTACCACTTTCTTCTAAATACTGGCACAAATTATCCTGATGCATCCATTTTTAGTAAAACAAATTAATTAGTTGCACATGATCTTTTTCTATCTAATTTCTTGCAGAAAATGGGAGAAATTTTTTATGAAAAGTATGTTACATCCAAAATTAAGTTAATTTCATTGATATGCTGTTAGTATAAATAGCGCTGTTACAGACTGTGCTATAGTAAAAATAATAATTGCAGTAAGAATTGTTAAAGCAGCTAAGCTCAGTGGAAAAAAAAAGGACAAAATTCCTAGCATACAGGCCTAGGAAAGGCTTGTCCCTTTTGCCCAGCAAACCTGACCCCATCAGTTGGTCTGACAAAAGGTACTACTTCTTCCTACTTCTTCCTTCATTGCCTCTTTGATATCCTTCAACTATTGTGGCAACAACATTATTGCAAATTACTATTATTACAAAATTATGCAATTTATACTTTTTTCTTTAATAACATTTCAGAATCCATTCAGTATACTTGTTTAAGTGGTGAACGCTATTTAGAAGGGGATAAACACTGATTTACATTTCTAAGTGTCTTTTAACATACAGAAGACACTGTCAATGTGAAAATCTGTAGGGAGTGGGAGATGGCTTGGAGGATGGAGGGAATAATCACGTCACATTTAAGCCTGTATGAGCTGTTTCCATAGAAAAAGGTTAGAGATCAACAAATTCTCAGTTTAGTTCAGTAATAAATGAAGGTTGGCTAGGGTATTAGGTTTCTGGGGGGAAGCATTAGCCAATATGTACAGCAGCAGCCTCTGGTGGTCTAAGAAAAAATGGTAGTATCTATAAGTAAGGATAGAAATATGTTTTTTAAAAGGATGTATGTACATATTTAGCTATTTGACTCCATTCAACACATTAAAAAACAGATGCTTTTAAAATGATCTGCTGGCAATATGCTTGTTAAAATCTGAACAGTAAGAGTATTAAAATTCATATGCATTCATTAGCATGTTATATAAAAGTAAAATGCTTTTGTTTAATCATTCCATAAAGTATTATAGTCAATGCTGATTATAAAGAAGTTTTTTCCTTGGTTTGCATCACCAAAAAAGGAACTAAATTTATAAGATTGTTACTGAATTGATGACATTTTCTGTCTTCACTCATGAATTCAGTTGGCAGATGTTTCCAAGAACAAAAAATTCTGTCTTATTACAAAACATATTAAGCAGGTTTTTCTGCCATAATGTTTGACATGATGTTTACAGCCCAGACCAAATCAGTCCCTTTAACAAGCTATAATGTATGCCAGAAAGTACATTATTTCATAGTTAAGGAAACTTCCAGCATTTAACAATAAGTACTTTGATCTTTCAAGCACTATACCAAATGCACTACACACTCCCGTAGTAATTTTTATTTATACTCATTTTGTACAAAAATACAGTGCAATTTGAGATTTTGTATTTTAAGACTCTGCTTTTACATATTCTTGAGTACCCTAGCTATTTGTTATTTTCTATGAAAATAAATAAAACAAAGAAATTTACCATGGAAAAGTTCCATTTTTCCAATTCTGGGAAAATCTAACTGCACAAGTGGAAGCATTATCCAGACAGCTTTAATTTGTTCAAATGGCATTTCTTCATCGAATCACAACAGACCTCAATGACCCTATGAGAACATAACTGGGGATATTTATTCCTACTACTTAACAGTCTGAAACAATTTCTCCAGCATATTTGACATAAGCAAATTTTCCTTCAATGTTAGATACAGTTGATGCCTTCTTGTGAGGATATTTTTCATCTAGTCTCTCTGGACCAGTCTGCCCTGCTTGGCAAAGATGACTTAAGGCTTACTCAGGCTTTTCAAAATTCTTTGACGAGGTCATTATGAAGCATATATGAGCGACAATATGTTTTATTTCAAGACCCCAGTGAGCCAAATGTATACTATACTACACAGTAAGTAAATCTAAATTGCCCTTGGACATTACCCCAAACCAGCCCCAACACCGTACCGTACCCCCAGCAGCTGTGGTTGCAGTAAGCCTAGCAGCAAGTCCCAGGGTGCAAACAAATGGTGATTCCTGTAGCACACATAATCCTACAGACCCAAGCACCATTTTGTTTGCATTGTGCGATGCCTGGACAGACAGACAACCAGGTCTGCAGCCAGGAAGGTGGAGCACAGCACACTATGCTCACAGCTCCTCTTGCAGCCAGCGAATTTTTACAGACTTAGCAGTTCTGCCCAACAGAGTAAATGGGACCCTACTGGCGG